ATATAACATAAATCAAGGTAGCCGTTAACACTGTTAAATCATATATGAATCATCAAAGAAAGGTAAATACAGTGTTCGAATAAAGGACTTAATAAAGTTGTTGTTGGTTTAGTGGAATATCTCAACGTTTCGAATGAGTTGCTTCAATCGTCATCAGAAGAATAATAGTTGGTTGAGAATATCTCGACGTTTCGATTGAGTTGCTTCAATCGTCTTCAGGAGAATAATAGGCCTATTCTCTTAGGATATTCCATGCCAACAACAGTTCTTTTCAGAACTACGTGGTGTACCTCAAGCATTAAGATATATCATCATTATTACTGTATTTAAAAGCTGGGGAAATGTGGAAAGGGTGATTACGCCCCATTTCCCCCATTTTTTTAAATTTAAAAATCTGTCTCCGAGCCCAACTTGCTTAGTCGCAATCTTGAAAAAAAAAATGTTCAAACTTAATGTCTGGCAACTCCCTATTAAGTGCTACACACCAGCACTTTGTTATGCATTAAGTTTTATTAGAATTTTATTAATGTATTTGACTTTGTTAAGATTTTGTTTTGTATATTATGGATGCACCATTCGGAAACGAGCTAGTGCCACTGATTCAAAAGTGATTCCTAATAAATATACAAAATAAAGTCACATTATTTTGGCAAATAGTTGTGTACTTTCTGTCAACCTTCAGTCTAAATGTTTTTTCGAGAGATGCAAAGAGAAGTGAAAAAGGAGAAGATAGTGTTTTGGTTGTTATTTGCATGGAGCATGTAAATTAGTATTACTAAGAATTTGTGTACTTAGTAGAAGCAATGGATGATGATGAATATGAAGGTACTTTCTAATTTATTGTTATAGTATTCTGCAACCATTTTTGATGAGTTTTGTGTAGGCTAGGCCTAGGCTATTGATTGTTGTGTGGTGGTTAGCAACCGACAACAACCGTGTTCACACATAACGTAGGCTAGGCCTAGCCTATTCCCTAGTAACTAGAGATCTTTAGGTAGCTAGGCCTAACTAGTGGCTACACAGTCACCTAGGCCAGCCTAATCCTAGTATTTTTAGGCACTAGATAGCTAAGACTAATAATACTAGGACCGGAAAGGGGGGTCAAAATACGGCAATGACAAGTAAAATGAAAGTTTTGCGTCCGAAAAATGTTGAGAACATATGAGGCATTTTTTCATTTGAAGTGGATATATTTATGTCGCCGTAAACAAATCTGTAAACGATATATTTACGTTAAATAATAATGCATGCACAGTCATACTTTAATAAACTTGCATTTTCAGCACTCGATATTAGCGTGGCCTCCCAAGCTGCGGTGATTCCCCCAAGTTCACCACAGCACTAATTAATTTATTAAATTTTATTCTTTATTAAATGTAATTTAATTTTCTACAACAGCACAGTATGTAGTTTAATCACTAAATAAATTATTAAATCGTTGTGTTAACTTTTCAAATTAAAGTGATATTATGAGCTGGAAATGTTATGTTCATTTTACTCAATCATTTGTTGAATGAACACACTTGACCTAAATACAAGGCCTAGGCCTACGTGAGGTTTCCTTGCTAAAACTCAATCACCACGAAATTAAGACGATATTCTACTAGGCTTACCTGTATTGTTATACGATAGTCAATCATCACAAATTAAATAACATCTTAAAGTTTTCATTCAAACACATTTACCCACGTCGTCACTAACAAAAACAACATCGTTATAGTCTTTAGTCGGGTCGAGCAGAGCCCCGATCGATCGCGAAGAACATACAGGAAGACCACGTTTGGAGAGCACATGCTCCACTCTACAAAGTACTGTACGATAAAACAAGAAGTAAACAACGAATAATAATATGCATGTATTTTCTGTAAGATATTTAATCATTTACGAAAAAGTGAGACCAGGGAGATGTAAAAAATACATAAAATACATCTCCCAGGTAAGACAAAACAAATATTTTTTATGTTTTATTCAAACATATTTTCCCATGTAGACTGATCACTAACAAAACAACATTGGCATATTTTAGTTCTTATGATGGAATATTGATACTACGATCATCTGTGCATTACTTTGTCAGTTTATGCTACATGATAGACCATTGTGGATGTTTAATATATTAGTTTACTAATAATATATATGAAAGAAATACTATATGAGATCAAATATAAAAATTTACTAGTAGGCTTTTATGGACTGACCCATTTTATCGTTGCGCGAGTATGTGCGCTATGCATGTGAAAAAGTGTAACCTATTTATTTTAGTTCATTTTTGTAACATTATCCGCTGTACCTATCCGCTAGTCGTAAACTGTTTACAAAAATTCATTCAACCAATTCAGGCATTCCCCATGCGTTGATTTGCCGTTGATTCGTTCAATGGCTTTTTAAAGAGTATAAACCATTTGTTTTTACAAAAAAAATTGTTGTCATGTTAATGTATTTTAACATGACTGTAATAAACACGTCGACGTTCGAAGATTTGATTTTCGTGCACCATGGATTCATGGTACAGTACATTCATAAATTTAACTTGCCAAAAATGGGGCCTCAGCAAAAGGCCGATTCTTATTTGGATTCTAATTTTGGTTAACATACATTTAACGAGAATCGATAAATTTACTTGACCGATAATGCAAGTTTATTAAAGTATGACTGCGCATGCGTTGTTTCATTTACGTAAGTATATCGTTTACTGATTTGTTTACGGAGACGTAAATATATCCACTCCCTTTTTCATTATTCATATAAATGCTGTGCCAAAATATACAAGCTGAGGCATCAGCAATTTAACATTATTTCCAAAAAACATAATGCATGCAATCAGTCATAAATGTACACTAGAATAGGCCTATATATACTGTATTTTACTATACTATAAAACAGATCTTTTATTTAGGCCTAGGCTAAGTGTTATTATTAATAATTTGGCCTTTAGAAAAACTATTATCAAGAAGATAGAGCAGTTTGTGATAGTGGAACGTCCATGAGAGTAATTTTCCTCCCTCAGTTTGATTTAACCTGTAAATGACCTCGGCAGGGATTTACAATTATGGTGCAGTGTGCTGCCTTCGCGACGTGTGATTGGATAAGCCTAGATTGTTTTTCTGTTTGTATGACGTAGAAAGTCTGTTTTAATAAGATGATGTATTTTTTTTTCAAAATAATGAATTTTTACGAAAGAGTGAACATTTTTTTGTAAAGGCATGCAGACAGGGGACGCAAATCTACAACTTTCATTCATTGACGTAATAAAGCTCTAAGGCCAGAGGCTAAGTACAAAAACGGAAATGCTAATATACAGACCTGTCAAGTCTCATGCATCTCGCAGGAGTCTCACAAATTTTTACTTTGCCCTTATGGGAGGCCTATATATTCTCCCGCATGGCCTATATATTCCCACACATTCAAGAATGTCTTCAAATTATATTTTTTTAATGTGCTATTTTCTCAAAACAAGCATGCATGTACAAACACGACTATTAGCGCTAGTGATCCCGTAGCGATCGTCACATTGTTCGACACCGCCTCAGCAGAAACCGAAGAAAATTAAAAGGGATATCGAAGTGACACTTTGTATCAATGTATTCACTATATGGTGTATGCTATATCAACGCTTGACTGTATTTTCCTTAAGGTAAATTGTGACCTCGCACATAATTTTCAAAAAATGTCTAGGCACTGACCAAAACGGAAAAGATAATACTAGGCTGGGCCTAAATTGATACAATGGCAAAAAGAAGAATCATTATCGTCCGTATTGTTATTCTGACAATACGTAGGCCTATACCCAGGCTAAGGCATATTTTATTCATTAACATCGATTAATTACGATCAAGAGGAAACAGTCATTAGAAACTGTAGGTAGCGGTAGCTTTTACTATGAAGGAATGGGAATTCCGAACTAATCAATGCGCAAGCGCAGCTACCAAAGAACGTGTGTGAAATATGTAAAAAAACACAGATCATGTGCTTGGAAATGCTAGACAGCCAGTGAGCATGTGCACTGAGTAAGTGACGTTGTCGAGCCATGTTGAGCATGCCCAGTTACCAAAAAGACGTCTCAGGCTAACGCAATCGTGCATGGCTATGAAAATTGAAAATAATCGAAGGCCTAGAGTGCATCATATAATCGTTAGGGAGAATTGTAATTAAATTATTGCAAGCAACAGTTTATTTGGCTCTATCGTCGTACGTATGTATGCATTGACAATCCCATTAAAGATAACCACAGAAAGTGACGACACAACCTTGGCTAGGCCTCTCTGGGTAACTACTAACAGCCAAGTAGTAGGAGCAAGCCTAGGCTAGTCGCATTGACTTGAAAGGTACGGTGCTGTACGCTAAAGAAGGAAAGCGTACATATTCTCTTTGTGGTATGCATCCATTACTGACATTCCAAAATAAAATAGCTACACAGAAAGAGCAGTAGGCCTACGGTAGCTAGCTGGTGGGGGGTGGGGGTGGGGGCTAGCAAGTCTGTCTGAAGCCAAAGCAGAAAAATTGGCTATGATGGAGTTTATCTATAACTCGTCCAACCCAGCCAGCAAAATGATAAAAATAATAAAATAAATTTTTAAAATTTGAATGCAAATACTAGTAATAATAATATTATAATTAATAATAGTAATAACAACAATAATGGTAAGAACATAAGCTAAAGAGAGTCTGTATATGGTAGGCCTAGGCCTACATCAAATTGTATATTACACTTTCTACATTTCTAAAGTGGAGTACTAGTGTTTGGTATGTTTTTTTAAAAAATTATTTTAATCCTGTGACCGTAATTTAAATAACTTCCTGGCTATTGTTACACTAATCGTAAACCAATTCTACCTGTAGGCGATTATTTTTATTTTTTACGTGTCATATCATAAAACAAGTGCATTTAAGATTGTATAGGTCATTCTCAAGAATACAATTATTTATTAATTTTGAAAATACAAACCAGTCATAAGTTAAAAATGTTGCGGCATTTTTTATGGGAAATATTTCTTGTTTATCATAGTTTTTAAAATCCAGATAAATTATTGCAATTATTATGCTTAAAATAGATGCTTGCCTTCTAATCTCAGGGTCCTGGTGGATACAAACTGTCACTACAAGATTATATCTTAATGAAAAAAAAAAACTTCAACTCACTAAGCCTCATAAAAAGATTTACCTTGTAATATTCCATCCTGTAAGTGGTGAGTGTACTCTTTGTTGGATGGGAACGAAATAAACAAATTTTGCTTATTTTTCATTTTTCAGATCGGTATGTCACAACAGATGTTCAGCCTTGTGCAAGTTGTGGCAGAACATTTGTACCTGAGACATTGGTGAGTTGAGTACTGTACACTTAGTATGCTCAAGTTATTGGCCCATTCACATTGTAGTGCTCACACTTTATTGGTTTTCTTCCAGCCTTAAATATTTAGCTAATAAAATAGCACATTTACCAGATTTAATATATTATTTCTTTTTTATTGACCCATATTATATGTGAACAGCTCAGGCCTAAGTTGACTTTGCCTAACTCGAATAATTTCTAAGTTGATCTTATTTTACATGCTAAATTGTTGTGTTTTTGATTCAACTTATGCAAATTCAACTGTATTAGCGAAGTATTTATTACTGTATAATTCATTGGATATTTCATTGGAAGCTGTTTGAGAAAACAGCTTCCAAAGATTCCCAAATCAATAGTTTGTTATGAAGATTTATATTTAAAAAATAATTTTAACATACTTTTTAATTTATGAGTACTGATTTATATTTTGCAGAAATTTTCTTCAATATATTTTCTTTTATAAAATGTAAAAACCTGAAAATGTTAAAAATTCTGATTCTCAAACGTTTTGAGTGCTTTTGGGAATTATAAATTGCGCCAAATTGAGGGTTTTGCCAGAGCCGGTCACATATAACCAGGTCATACCTGAATTTTCATTTAAAAAAAATTATGTAGTATACATTAAAGACAGATTGTATGCCAAACAATTGGAAATTACTTCAAAAATTCAATTAGATTTAATAAAAAAATTCTTAAATTGATTATACGCCAATTTAAGAGTCTATGAAAAAAAAATATTGCAAAAGTGTTATTTAATGGTCCGTTAATTGACGGGGATGTTTTTTTCATATTCATATTTTTTAATACATTATGCGAGACTTTCTTGTATACCTTGTTCAGCGAACCCACCGCCTGTCATTAAAGTTTTTCTTTATTTTTATTACGCCCGTTGCTGCATTGAAATCGCCAAAAATAAGATATTTATTTCTTCATAATTAAATTTTATAGTATTTAATCATCCCATGACTAATCCAATAAAATACAATTTTTATTTTCTCCTCCATCTGGATGTTTTTGGAAAAACTATTTGCTAGATAAAGAAACAAAATTTTATTTTTATTTTTTTCTGTTCTCATTTGATGATCTTTAAAAAAATAAGTTTGTGAAAAAATAATCTTGCTTAAGTTAATAACTTACTCAAATTTACAAATTAAGTAATTCTAATATGGAATTGAATTTTTCTATTCTTTTAGCCCAGACGTGATAATATATACAGTACATCTTTAAATTATTATATTATACTTTCAGGTAAAACATGAACGAATATGTTTCAAATCAAACAGCAAGAAACGAAAGATATTTGACTCATCTAAACAAAGAGTTAGTGGACTTGAAGTAAAGCCAGTGAAACAAAAAGCAAATCAAAGCAAGTTGCCACTATCTGTAAGCTCAGTAAACCCATTCTTAGTATTTTTTTAAATGTCACATGACAATGTGAAAGTTCAAGGCATACTGAATAACAGCTGTTCTATGCATTTTTTTAAAGCATTTTATTACTTTTTATTACCATTCTTTTATGCTATATTGATGATTGCATAATTTTATATGAATAAGGAGTGATTTACACAATACAGTAGAAATTTAATACTGTAAAAAAATTTTGTTAATAACTATAACTCTGTAAAACATATATTATTTGTTTCTTTAAATTTCTTGAACTTGGACATAATCATGTGCACTTGAAATTACAAGATGCCTTTTTAATAAAGTAAATTGCATTTTGTTTTATTTTACTTTTTTATAATATAATAAAGAACATGCTTCATGATGAATGTTTGGAAATAGTGCTATATTGTAGCCAGCTCTAACTTATGTATGTTATAATGTGAAATACTGTATATGTATAAAAATAAATAAGCAAGTGAAATATACATTAAGCAGTCAGACAAAAAATAATGTATTTTAAAATATCAGGAACATCTTTTTAATATACAATTTCTGTTTACAAATTCATAAAGAAATCAAAAACCAATTGGAGAGCAAAACATGAAGAGTTCATATCCACGATGAGGGCAGCAAAAGATGTCACGAAAGCAATCAAGACTGGAGCAGATTTACCACCACCGCCAAAACCAACCATAAATCCAGGTAGAAATTAGCTAGCAAAATATTTGCCAAATAAAGATATATTTTAATCTGATACGACACTATAATAGTAGTCAATATGTATTTCAGTTAATGTGTGAAATATGATGAAATATGTCACCTAAATCTGAAGTTTAGATGTATGGAATCTGCGATATGAGTAAATCAGCCTCAAATTTTAAACTTAAGCCAGGTACTCACTGCGTCTAATGGTCGTCCGCCGATGCGATTCTACGAAGAATCTATGCGATTCTATGACGTACGTGCAGTGGATCATTTTTAGTAACAATCCTTTTAGACTGCCAATCAGTAGAAGGCGTGAAGCTCTCATTGTATGTAAACGTGTTAAGACCAAAACGTTATGATTGTGATCGATCTCATTGTGTTGTTTGGCCTCACCTCATATAATAATTATATGAGGTGAGGCCAAACAACACAAGAACAGTCAGCCAGCATGGAATTCAAACTAAATGATTGAGAGCCAAATCACCACCAATTATTCATGGGCGGATTTAGGGGGGAGGAGGTTTGAGATTATTGAATGGATACACAATTCCATAGAAAGGTTGATTCTATGTCATATCGCGCAATGCATAGCTACAAAGACAGTTTAAGCGCAGATGCCCCAGCATCGAAACCTTTGTGCAATCAATCACTCTCTATCGAGGTCAGCAGGTACAGTATGTGCTGTCAGACAACCCCATGAACAGTGACCACAGTACACTGATATGTGTGCACATCTCCATTGACGACACCCCTTCAGTAGACATACTCTTTTAATAAAGTACAATTTTTGTGTAGACAACATTTGACACTTTTGACGTGTAAGTTTTGCTTCCTTATTGTTTTCAAGTACAGTACCTGGTTTAATCATATTGTGTAATTTAAAAGATATACTGTATGAAATTGTATAATCCTGTTGTCTCTAATTGACATGAAACAAATTAGGCCTACCTAAACCTAGGGCCTAGGCCTATTTCCAGTGGTGGATTTGGGTGGGTGGGGGGTGGCACGTACGCCCCCATCCCCTCTATTTTTTTGCAAAGAAAAAATTACACCCACAGTGTTTAAGTCTTTCTTTCCTACTAAGTACACCCTAGGAGAGTGCTATTCATAAATCCACTTGGTTTAGAAATAGAACACTTGTAATTTACTCAATGTCAATATACAGTAGCAGACTTTTTTAACGGATTTTGGATATTAGTTTTCCTTTTTGCTGATTTTGTGATTTTATGTTCAATGTTGCTAAGAAACTTCATCATGTTTTCTAGAAGTGAAATTTCTCTTTTGAAATAGTGTATATTTATGAGCCTTTGCATGTTGTCAAAGATTATGTTGTGAGTAGATGAATTATTACTAATTTAATGACACATGTCATAGTTGCATATTGCAGGAACCCTGTATATTAAAATTTCTTTTAAAAGACATACACCTACTTTAAAAAAAATTTATTTGTTAAAACTACCATATGCTAGATAGTCAAAATCGACTCAATACAACCTCATATTCCTCAAATGTGCTGGGCTTCAATAGGGGGCTTCGCCCCCTTGGACCCCCACCAGGGGCTGTGCCCCTGGACCCCGCCGGGGGCCCTAAGCAGTGCCCCTAGCCCTTGGCCTAAGGCTGCTCGCTTCGCTCGCAGATTACACCCCCCTTTTTTCTGGCAGGCTGCATCCGCCCATGCCCTCGGTGCTTCGTACCTTGGCTGGTCGTCCATCTTTACTTTGGCGCCCCCCCCCCTTTTGCTAAATCCTGTATCCGCCCCTGTTATTGGTGGTGATTTGGCTCTCAATCATTTAGTTTGAATTCCATGCTGACTGTTCTTCTAAATATGCCACTAGGAGCGAGGGCTGGGGGGCGGGGATTCACATTGTCATTGTTCCCAGTAATTAAGGAAATATATAGAGCTTTGAGTTGTTTGGAAGGAACTATAAAATAAAATGCCAAAAGTTTTTAACTTGATATTGATTTTTAATTAATTTATTTAATACTTTAGATTATGTAGAGTGTCCAAGTTGCTCTCGTCGGTTCAATAACAATGCGGCTGAGAGACATATTCCATGGTGTAAAGAAAAACAGAAACGAATATCACACCCAGCTAAAAAGTCAGAAGGTTTTAAGATAAGAACTCAGGTAAGAGGCTTCTGATTCTGCTTCCTCTTGTTAATCCACCTGTTAAGATTTAGTTTGTCTCCGCACTCATTTTGTTAATTTATGCATGTTCTCATACAGTAGTATATATAATTCTGGTGCTGTGTTCAATCATCAACAAAAATGCACGGCAGGGCGAGTCGAATGGTCAAGTGGTTAATACAGGGGCTCGCAGCCTAGTCATAATATCGGCGCTGATTCAAACGGCTCGCTCACCTATGGCTTTGGAGGTGGAGCAAGTCTTCTTCTCGCATAAGGACTACTAACTGTAGGCCCAGTGTACACAATTGGCTCCTGTGCACAATAAAGAAACCAGTACATCTTTCAAGACGAGTAGGGGGTTACCCCGGTGTACTGGTCCATCTCACAGCCCCTGCCCTCATCCAGATGTTGAACAGGCATTGATAGGTATCTGCATAGAATTAGAATTGCAATTTATAAAATTTATTGGCTAAATGTAATGTAGTTAGATTTATATAGCACTTTATACCAAAGTGTCAAAGCGCTTGGCGAGTGGACCAGCCGGTATAGTATTAATTTGTTACTTCTTTCTGTCTTTCATCACAACTGAAGTACAAACCACCATTACCAGGGGTTAAGAAGGGATCGCCGAGTGGACCAAGAACAGGATTGGGAATGAAGGGATCTAAGTCATCCCATGAAGTTGCTTCTCTTTCGAACGGAATGGACAATATGCAAATGAGCAGAAAACCAGGTATGTTAATAATTTTTAAGATGCTTTTCCTGCCAATTTCATAGATAATTTGAGTTGTGTGGTGTAGGATTTAGGAGTATGGCACAAAATATATGCTATACTTTTATTTGTTATAATGTTGTAGTCTTATATGTGCTTCATCATTGGGTCAGTGAACTATTTAGACTAGAAAAAAAATCTGAAAAAAATGAGTTAGGGGGAGTGGAATGTTAGAAGCAATCCACATAGCCAGATATCCTAATTAATCCCTTCTGGTCACCCTAAGCCCTGTTGACACTTGATTTTACTCCTTGTATACAAATGGCGGCCATTTTATCTAAAATGTGCATAAAATTGAAACTAAATAAGCTACAGATATGATTTTGGTGTCTAAACTCATAATTTCTAGACAGGCAACAATCTAGACATATAAAAACTACTGTCACTCAAGCAAGAATGGAACATAATTAAAAAATAGGTGTTTATTTGTTTAAAAATAATCGCAAAATATACTTACTTAAAATGTACATAGAATAAGAACGAGTATACATAAGCTAGTTTTCTATGTAATCCAGATAGATTTTTGAGCAAAAATAGATTTATTGACTAATTTTATCATTTTTACTGCGCTGAATTCAAAAAAGTTAGGTGCCATTTTTTTCCCAAAGTCATCGGCCGCCATTTTGAATTTCAAGATGGCTGACGCACCACATAAAACATGGTCATGATTGGTGTCAATGGAACGAACCCCCCTCTGTGAAGAAACGTAACAAAATACTGTTGGTTCCTGGCTTACAAAACGCATTACCAACCGTTTCAAAGTGATTTTGGATGTAACATGCATTTGGCAGAAACACATGCGTGATCTTAAATTTGTCCATGCATGATGACGAATAATCACGAATTCAGGGAAAATATATTTAAAATTAGAAGAAATTAGTTTTATTAAAATTATAAAACAATCATGCAGTAACTTGAGTCATTAGAGAGCCTTCGTTATCGCGTTTGAGATTCAATTCTCCAAAAGCTTTGGCGGCGCGTGTGATCATCCATGAAGCTATCCAAATATAAAAACAAATTTCAACAAAGAAGTTTCTCTAATATGGGGGAAATTGTTTTTTTTTTGTTTTTTGTTCTTGTTTTCAAAATGTCTATCTACATTAACATTTTGATCTTTAATTGTGTATAGAAGATGAATGTGCATGTTTTTTTGTACGCAAGCTTGTCTTTGAGTCGGGTTAACTCACTATAATCTAAAAAAAATGATCTGCTATCAAAAAACTCCAAATATTAAGTTAGTTCTGGCTATATCTGCAAAAGCCTGGGAAGATTTTTAAATTTAGTAGACTCAAAATCGAGGTGGTTTGAGGCTTTACTTTACAGAATATAGCACTATTACGGTA